AAACAAACGGGCTATAATTCCCATGTAAGTCTGAAATTCAGCAGGACAGTCATTAAACCTCACAGTTCTAAAAATGATCTCCTTTGACTCCATGTCTCATATCCAGGTAATGCTGATGCAAGAGGTGGGCTCCCATGGCCTTGGGCAGCTCTGCTCCTTTGCAGGGTATACCTCCCTTCCTGGCTGCTTTCATAGGCTGGCATTGAATGTCTGTGTCTTTTCTAGGTGCATGATGTAAGGTGTCAGTGGATCTACCATTCTGGGTTCTGGAGGATGGTTGCCTTTTTTCACAGCTCCACTAGGCAGTGCCCCAGTGGGGACTCTGGGTGGGTACTCTAACCCCGCATTTCCCTTCTGCACTCCCCTAGCAGAGGTTCTTCATGAGGGCCCTACCCCTACAGCAAACGTCTGCCTGGACATCCAGAAATGTCCATACATCCTCTGAAATCTAGGCAGAGGTTCCCAAACCTCAATTCTTAAGTTCTGTGCACTCACATGTCCAACACTATGTATAAGCTGCAAAGACCTGGGGCTTGCACCCTCTAAATCAGGCATCCCCAAACTTTTTACACAGGGGGCCAGTTCACTGTCCCTCAGACCGTTGGAGGGCCACCACATACTGTGCACCTCTCACTGACCACCAATGAAAGAAGTGCCCCTTCCTGAAGTGCAGGGGGTGGGGGGGCTGGATAAATGGCCTCAGGGGGCTGCGTACGGCCCGCAGGCCATAGTTTGAGGCCGCCCACTCTAAAGCCACATCCTGAGCTGTATGCTGACCCCTTTTAGCTACAGCTGAAGCTAAAACAGATGGGATGCAGGGCACCATGTTTGGAGGCTGCATAGAGCAAGGGGGACCTAGGTCCATCCAGGGAAATGATTTTTCCCTCCTTGGCCTCCAGGCCTGTGATGGGAGGGACTGCTATGAAGGTCTCTGACATCCCCTGGAGACATTTTCCCCATTGTCTTGGTGACTAGTATTTGACTCCTCATTACTTATGCAAATTTCTGCAGCTGGCTTGAATTTTTCCCCAGAACATGGGTTTTTCTTTTCTACTGCATCATCAGGCTGCAAATTTTCCAAACTTTTATGCTCTGACACGTCTTGAATGCTTTGCTACTTAGGAATTTCTTCCACTAGTTACCCCAAATCATCTTCCTTAAGTTCAAAACTCCACAGATCTCTAGGGCAGGGGCAAAATGCCACCAGTCTCTTTGCATAGCAAGAGTCACCTTTACTCTAGTTCCCAACAAGCTCCTCATCTCCATCTGAGACCACCTCAGCTTGGACCTTATTGTCCATGTCACCATCAGCATTTTGGTGAAAGCTATTCAACAAGTCTCTAGGAAGTTGCAAAGTTTCTCACATCTTCCTGCCTTCTTCTGAACCCTTCAAGCTGTTCCAGCCTCTGCCTGTTAACCAGTTCCAAAGTCACTTCCACCATTTTTTGGTATGCTTACAGAAGCATCTTCTTACCTGGTACCAATTTACTATATTAGTCTGTTCTCACACTGCTAATGAAGACATACCTGAGACTGGGCAATTTATAAAGGAAAGAGGTTTAATGTACTCACAGTTCGACATGGCTGGGGAGGCCTCACGATTATAGTGGATGAAGAAGGAAGAACAAAGGTATGTCTTACATGGCAGCAGGCAAAGAGAGTGCATGCAGGGAACTCTCTTTTATAAAACCATCAGATTTTGTGAGACTTAGTCACTCTCATGAGAGCAGCACAGGAAAGACCTGCCCCTGTGATTCAATGACCTCCCACCAGTTCCCTCCAACAACATATAGGAATTATGAAAGCTACAATTCAAGATGAGATTTGGATGGGGACACAGCCAAACCACATCAAGCCACCTCTAAAACCATAATAAAATAAGTGATAAAATAAGTTATCCTCCAAAGTACTGAACTGTTCCATAGGCATGTAGCCTTTGATTAATCATGGAGAACTGTGGAAAGGCCCCAATATCTGCCTCTCCCCTGCTCTGCCATGGCCCCTTTGCTGGTGCATTTACATGTTCCTGTATCCTCTGGCTTTCCAGTGGGTTCAGCCAGTTAGAAAGCCACTGGAGAGTAAAGGGCTGTGGAAGAGAAAAGCCAGATTATTTGTCATGTCCCTCTGTGTCTCAGGTGACATCTCTGAAAATGTCTCAAGTGGTATCTCCTCTGTAGCTGTGACTCCTGCTCTACACTCCTGTCATAGTTCCAGCTTCCTCAGGGTGACCCTGACTCCTGGCCCCAGTTATCACTGCTTCCTCCCTTTTCTTCTTCAGCCTAAGAAGTCCTAGTGATTTCCTGAGATTTCTGATATCTAGGGTGCCTCAGTACCTCCCTGATACAATGAGACTTTTGGCTTCTGTGTCATCAATTCCCTGTATTGCCTCCCCCATGTTTTAAATACTTTAAGTGGGTTTCCCTCACCTCTGGTTGAACCATGAGTCATATAGAGAGAAAGATGGATTCTCAAACAAAAATGAACATAGTTTCAAATGAATTATTAAACACATTGCTATGTGCACTCAGAAGTAGGCAGTGATCACTAAGAGCCAACATGAGTTTCCTAGGAGCAATTATGACCAATTCGCTTTGCTTATTTAATTGGTAGTTGAAGAAATGTTGGCATTAGTACATAAGCAAGGCCTTTGAAGTGATTGCTCATGATGTCCTTGTGGTTAATAGACACATGTGGGCTGGATGATACAGATTTAGTCAGGTTTATAGGCTGTACTGGAAAATACCTAGAGGGAACCATGGCTGCCTTTCAATATTTGAAGAGGGATTAGATTAAATCTTTGAAACACTAGAGGCTAGAGCCAGGATCAATGTTTGAAGTTCAGGAAATCTGATTTTGGCTCAATAAATAGAAGTGCATTCTAAGAATTAGACTTCTTCTGAAATGGAATTGGCTCCCTGCGAGGAAGATGATTTCTGTCCCTGGTTGTATCCAGGCAGATGTAACCTGTGAGGAATGGGGGAAAAGGGATTCTTGCATTGGTAGAAACCTGAAATAGAAAATCCTGAAAGTTCCTTTCAACTCTGAAAGTTCCTTTCAATTCTGAAAGTTTAAGAATTTATGAATATGGTCATTTGTGTCTGATAATAGCGTGGCACCAGATGTAATTTTTCGTTTGACAAGACCTCAGAAGAAGCACAAAAACTTGCCCTGCCTCTGGGGGATCATTGTTCAAATAAATGAGCACTGTTTCAGTGAAGAACTAACTAATCAAATTTCCTGCTTTACAGAAGCAAATATACTAGCATTTAGTTTAAAGAGAAAATGTTTCTTCCTCATTTCAAGAAAATCAGCATATAATGATAGGGACATAAAGTATGAACAAATATGACAAATATTTGGATATGTATTTTAAAAATAAAGATATGCATCCAAGCAATATGGGAAGTTTTAATGAGGAATCACATCAGGACTGTGTAGGTTAGTTATTTGTCAAGATCAAAATTGGCTTTATATGATAGTTTGTATTGCAGATGATGAAATTTTTAACAGATATTTTTTATCACCTGCTTTGACAGAAAACAGTTGAAACTTCAGCTATAATCAATCAATCAATCAACAAGTGTCATCAAGCACATGCTATACGTTTAGCATCAGAGATAGCCCTAGGCAAAATGTTTAAGCAGGATAATTATTTTTTTTTGCCTTTTCTATTCTCTTGTCCACTGTGTGTGGTCATGTATTTGGAAGATTTCCGGCAGCCTCTATTTCTCCACCCTCTACTTCTGAGGAATGGATCTGAGAAACTAGCAATAAGATGCAAACTACACTATGTGTCACTTAGTGATGGGGACACATTCTGAGACATACATCATTAGACAATTTCATCATTGTGCAAACATTATAGACTACACTTTCACAAATATACTAAACCTAGAAAAGGTGCAGTAAAAATTCAGTATGATAATCTTATGGGACTATTGTTGGGACCATAAGATATGCATGGTCCATTGTTGACCAAAATGTCATTATGCAGCACTTACCTCATATATACTAGGTAACTACTTGTTGAGTTGAGGTATGAATGAGTGAATGATGTATGAATGAGTGAATGCATGAGCATATTCTAATAAGAGGATTGTATTTATTTCTGATGAACATTTTTGAGTATGTATTATAAATAATAAGTTGAATGAGTTACACATTGTTCCCACTTTCAAAAATCTCCAGGATTGTGGTGAGAGACCCATGCACACAGAGCTAATTATAACACAACAGAAGTGCTGTGCTACAGGTATGAACACAATGCTATGGTAACACAGTGTATAACAGAGGAGTGCATGATGAATTTCTTAATTCTGCTGCAGTGGAGGCTGGGCAAAAGGAAGAAGCTGATAGAGGAAAACTGTCATAAAATGAATGACATTTAAACTGAGAGAAAAAGAAAACAATACTTATTATCTCTGAAAGGAGTAAAGGGAAGGACCTTGTAAGCAGAAGAAAGAGTTTGTGTGAAAACTCAAAGGTATTTGCTTTTTAACAGCTACAGATTTCCACTGGTCTTAACTAGAGGTTAAAGCACCATTTGTGGGAATTTAGGGAGACATTTAGACTTGCCTAGAAAGTTGCTAATTCTCTAGTACAGAGTTAGCCTGGTCCATTACTTTGCTATATGCTGATATATTATATTGCCAGTGGCTAATAATTACTCTTAGTGGTCTGATAAATTCAATGAGTAATGCACATTTCAAAATAGAAATATTTAACCTCAGCTGTATACATTCTTTCTTTTAAAAAACCAGCTTCTGCTGGGTCATTTTTCAGCAAAGTATTCACTTCGTAGAAGCAAACTCATCTACAGCATGATATATAATAATATTAATAATATTAATCTCAGGATTTTTTCTTTAAAAACCTGTATTTATAACTTCAGCTGTGGTCTCTTAATATTTCCATCTTTTTGCACCTGACAACTTTTATGGCAACTAGCAAAGCAAAGGCACCTCCCACGTGTCTAGATTTGCTTTTTCTCTCTTGGGCAGAAACATTGAAAAGAGCAACTTTCAAGTCAAAAGAATCAAGGTGAAGAGAATAGGTACTCATGCCCATGTGAATTTGCTGCCCCAAATCTACTGAAAGATCAAGCTTCAGATTTCCATAGCTATAGCCTGAAGAATTTCTGTAATGAACTAGAAATAATCAGTAAAAGATCAGTTGCAGCTAGAAAGACATTATAATCTGGATTTTCCTAGGATTATTAAATTTGAAAATGATTTATTCCAAATTTTAACTTAGCTTTCAATTTTACTACTGTCAAAATGTTGTTCTACTTTGGATAACTGATTTTTTCATTACAGAGTCAATACCATTTTTGCAGGGTGGTTTAAAGGCCAATAATTTAATCCACATTCTGCTAAAACTTTTAATATAAGCATTTTACCCACCCCGATGTATTTTTTTTTATTCAAAAAAATCTGATTTTAATTGCTAAAACTCATTTTTAAATATTAATTCAGTGAAAGAAATGCTATGGTTTTTCTCCTATTTTTATTTCTGAAACTCAAGGGAAAACATGGATGAAAAACAATAAAGTGTTCTGCATAGAGTCTTCTTTAATGTCTCAGTTTGGTGATATATGAAATAAAAACCAAATTGTTTGAACCAGCTAAAAGTCTTAGGTTTGAATTATCCAGAACGTTTGTGTTTTGCAGTCATTTCTTGTGATGATTTTATTCTGTTCCTCTGGTATGCACCATTGTATTAACACATGCTAAGTAAGGGACCATTTTTAAACATATGTGCTTTGGTTGTTAAATCTGCTTCTAGTTTTGTCAGGGTCAAAAATTATTCTGGAGTTTCTGGTAAGAATGGTTAAGACAGGACGAGTGGAGGAAGCAACTCAAAGGGAACTACAGGAGACAAACTGGGGTTTCTTTGATGAATAAAGGCCATCTTTTGTGACTCTGCTCTTTTGGCGGGGGGTATGTAACATTTTCTCATTTGGGTATCTTTCTGGTGCAAATATAGGCAATTTAATTAAACCTATCAAAGAATCCTAGTCATTTATTTAAGTGTACTTATTACAGTGTAGTCAAATGGACTGCATTGACTTTTGGAACTGAAATGATCTATTATATAGCCACTACCAGTAAATGATCACACAAAACTGAACAGTTCATGGTTACTCACTGGAAAGCATTTTTAAGGAGACATTTCTTTCCAATGCTGCAACTATATTACTACTTAACACCGTTTGGTTGTAGCAGGGATTCAGGCCAGATTAGCTTAATTAAAGCGTAAGAATTTATTGTAAGTATACATCACAGAGCACCAGGTCAGGGGACGCAACAACTGGGCTTCATAAGGGGCTGCATCTAGGAATCTGGATAGGATCAAGATCTCTTTCTCTCTCTCTCTTCCCTCTCTGCTTTGATGTGCACCCCTGCTTCAGTCTTCTCTCCATTTCTTCATCCCATGTACTTTCTCACAGCATCCAAATTTACATGTTCTTCTCTTTAGCCAAGTAGTCTCCAGCCTAAATTTCCAAGAAAGAAAATCAGATTGACCCTGACTTGGGATAGCTATTGACCCTTGGCTGACAAGATCACTCCAAAGATAACCCAGTTGAAAATGGAATCAATTCGGCAAGGGGTGGTGGCTCACACCTGTAATCTCAGAATTTTGGGAGGCTGAAGCAGGCGGATCACCTGAGGTCAGGCGTTTGAGACCAGCCCGGCTAACATAGGGAAACCCCATCTCTACTACAAATACCAAAATTTAGCAGGGCATAGTGTTGGGTGCCTATAATCCCAGCTACTCAGGAGGCTGAGATAAGAGAATTGCTTGAACCTGGGAGACAGAGGTTGTGATGAGCTGAGATCACACCATTGTCCTCCAGCCTAGGCAACAAGAGCAAAACTCTGTCTCAAAAAATAAATAAATAAATAAATAAAAGAATCAATTCAGTACACACACACACACACACACACACACCCTCTAGATTTTCAACAACTACAGTATAATCACCAAAACTTTACTATATAAGGCATTTAAAAATACTTTCACAATATATTTTAGGAAATTTAATCTAGAGAGGTAACTTATATTGGAAAAGAACAAGAACTTAAGGAAATGACAGCTTTGATTAGGTTTTTTGTACTCACATGTTATGGGGCTATAAGAAGTTTTCCACTCTTACAGCCTCAGTTTTCACACCTGCAAATTGGGGATAACTATACCTATCTTGCAGGAGTTCTTCTGATAATGAACAATAGTATGAAATGACTAGAACAGTGTATAAATTCATGCTAATAGTTAATAAAAGGACTTACTACTATCTTTATATTTAGTGTGATTTAGAGTCACATAATCAGGATTTTTTAAAACAGATGAGGGGGCTGGGCACAGTGGCTCCCCCTGGAATCCTAGCACTTTGAGAGGCCAAGGCAGGTGGATTACCTGAGGTCAGGAGTTGGAGATTAGCCTGGCCAACATGGTGAAACTCTGTCTCTACTAAAAATACAAAAGTTAGCCAGGTGTAGTGGTGCATACCTGTAATCCTAGCTACCCAGGAGGCTGAGGCAGCAGAATCACTGGAACCTGGGAGGAATTTGCAGTGAACTGAGGTTGCATCACTGCACTCCAAACTGGGCGATAGAGCAAGAATCTGTCTCAAAAAAATAAATAAATGAAAATGAAATCAAATGAGGTTGTATATGTTGTTGGCTCAAAGAGGCTACCTTGAGACACCCTTGAAGAACTTCAAAATAAAGAAATGCATATTCCTTTTTCAAAGTTAACTAAAAAATCAATTCATAATGAAATAGAGAAAGGTATACAGAGTCAATTTAAAGCTATCTTTACCAAGCCTCTGTTATTTTATTTTATTTTTTTTGAGGCAGAGTCTCACTCTGTCGTCCAGGCTGGAGTGCAGTAGTGCAGTGCAGTAGTGCAATCTTGGCTCAGTGCAACCTTTGCCTCCCGAGTTCAAACAATTCTCCTCTCCTGAGATTACAGGCATGTGCCACCATGCCCAGCTAATTTTTGTATGTTTAGGAGAGATGGAGTTTCACCATGTTGGCCAGGCTGATCTCAAACTTCTGATCCCAAGTGATCCACCCACCTTGGCCTCCCAAACTGACAGGATTACAGGTGTGAGCCACTGCACCTGACTCAAGATTCTGTTATTGGTAAACAATTTCCATAAATTGTTGATATCTGTCTACTACCTAAACAATTATTTAATGTTTCACTAAATTAACTTTATATCAATTCATCATTTTAAATCATTTAACCTCATGTTTTTGATACTATTTTTGAAATTAGGATTTGATATACTGATTATATATATTTTCCTAATAACCATGGTCATAAACGTGTAACTATTAACGTCAAAAAGAGCTCATCCTTTTACTATATAAAATGAACTTGAGGTAACACGGACTTCACAATATAAAATGTCTTCAGAGTCAATAAAATTGACCTAAATCAGAATTAAGACAACATACTAAAGATAAATATATCATTCAGAAAAAGAGAGTTGGTCAGATCTGGAACACAGCAGAAATGAGTTACCATGGTGGCCATCAGCTGACAGCCTCAGCACTCTCTGGGCGCCCTGCAGGCCCACGGAGTCAGTTCTACCCTTTGGCAGGTTTTTCCATCTCCTGGAGACAGACATATCACAAGCTACTTAACTTCCTTGTGACTCGCTTTATTTGTTTGTGAAATAGGGATATCATATAGTTCTCAAAGATTTGACATGAGAAAGCATTAAAAGTCCATAGCATTAAAAGCATCGCTATGGACTGTGTGTGTCCCCTCACCCATTCATGCCCGCAGTGTGATGGCATTTGGAGGTGGAGTCTTTGGGAGGTAATTAAAATTCCATGAGGTTATGAGATTGGGGTCCTACAATGGGATTAGTGCCCTTATAAGGGGAAAGGACCAGAGTCCTCTCTCTCTGCTGTGAGGATACAGCAACAAAAAGCAGTAAGAGGGCCCTCACCAGAAGCTGAGTTGGCTGGCATGCTAATCTCAAACTTCCCAGACTACAGGACTGAGAAATAAATTTTTGTTGTTTAAGCCACCCAGTTTATGATACTTTTGTTATAACAGCCCAAACTGATTAAGACTGTCCTCAGTAAAACTTCTTTAAATTAAAAACAAAACTTCTTACTCTAATCTTCTGTTAGATAGGTCAACTTGACGTATCAGGCTTCTTGAGTTATTTTTCTCCTGGCAAATTATATAAATTGGCAAAGAGGCCTTACATGTCCACCTGCGAGCTTTGATAGACAATTCTGATAGTTAATTAAACTGTAAGTCCCAGGGAAGTCACTGGTCAGTGGTAAATGTTCCAAGGTAAATCCTATAGTGGTCTGGACTCCTGGGAGCTAATTGAATTTCTCAGGGTATCAGGGTACAAATGCTTCTAACACTTGTAATATTAACATGTATATTAATCATCTATTTACAGCAATTTAGCTACAAATATGACATTGCCAATAGGAAAATATACTAAAGAGATTCCTGAATCTCATAGTTTATCATCTAACTAAGGAATTTGCAGGTACATACACAATTTTTTAATATGTATGAGTACTTCTCCGTATATTACCTCACAATAACCCTATGTAACAGTTTTTAAAAAACTGAGGCACAGAACTTAAATGACTGACTGAAAGTGCACAATTAATGTTTAATAGTGAAACTAAGATTAGAGTTCAAAGTCTAGCATTTTTACAAAGCGGATCCAAACCCCAGGATTGTCTTCTTACAGTGCAGATACCCAGGCCCCTTAAATAGGTGCTCCATAGTGGGTGGATTTTTTTTTTTTAATTGAGTTGTGGTCTCTCTCTGTTGTCCAGGCTGGAGTGCAGTGGCATGATTATGGCTCATCACAACCTCAAACTCCTGGACTCAAGCGATCCTCCCACCTCAACCTCCTCAGTAGATGTAACTAAGGGGGGCTTGCCACTGACTGTGCCCAACTGATTTTTAAATACATTAAAAAAAATTCTTTAAAAATTTTTTTAAAAAATTAATTTTTTCAAAATTTAAAATGAGACAAGATCTTGTTACATTGCCCAGGCTGGTCTTGAACTCCTGGGCTCAGGCAATTGTCCAGTCTTGGCCTACTAAAGTGCTGGGATCACAGGCATGAGCCATTGCACCCAGCCAGAAATCTGCATTTTAATAAAACCTCAGGTGATTCTAGTGTGAATCACCTGCTATGACAAACATTGCATTAGGTTATGCAATGTTTTCATGAAGCAACTTGGGAGCAGTTGCAAAACAACATAAAAACAGAATACTAGAATATGGTGTTATGTCACATGCAAGTGATGAAGATGAAAGTGTGGGAGAGGACAAGATCTTTTGTGCAGGCTGGTGCTGACTAGGCACACAAAGAGGGCATTTACGTTGTCTGGAATTCCTTCAATGATTTGGACAATGTTTGCTCATCACTTCATTTAACTTACACAAGAAATCCCAGGAGGATTTTGCCTTAAAATTCTTCTTATTCCTTTTTAAAAAAAAATAAAAAATTAAAACTGGACTCAAAATGTCTTAAATTAGGAAAGAATTCAGCGTCAAATTTTTCTTTTTGCCCTTATATGGATTTTTTTTTTTTGAAAGCTCTGTCTAAAATATCATGTTCTTTCCATG